CTTGAGTCACAGGTGCCAAGCCTAGTATACTTTCTTTAAAATTTTTTTGGTAGTTGTGCATTAATGTTCTTGCAGGGTTTTTACAGATAATGAAATTATTCATATAATGTAAAAAGAAAGTAAATACATATGCGTAACATTTTCTTCATTTGAATCTGTTCCTTAGCATAATTCCCAGGAGTGTAATTACTAGGTTGAGGGCTCCTGATGTGTCCAAAATGCTTTCTGTAGTGAACATCTCTTCCAAGCAGTCACCTGATGAGTGGCATTGATTCCACCACCACCTTTCAAGCATGAGCCCTCACTAGTCTTAGTCAAACTGAGTCAGCCATCCTTTTGCCATGCTGTTTGAGATAAACCAGGCCTTAACTATTTTGAATGTGGTATTCCCCTGGCCACAGAAATTGGTTCAGTCGTAGTCCCAGTAGTATGAAGCTCAGGATTTCTTTCCTGGTTATAGAAGGCAGCATGCTTTTTCCCCCCAGGATATTCAAGATAAAGGGAATAGCCTTGTTGCTTTGGCAGCCATTTGGCAACAATGAGGGGTGGCAGCCTGAGGATGAAGCAGACACAAAGAGGCAGGCGGGGCTGAAGGAATTACAAAATGTATGGTAGGTTAGACAGTGATAAATGCTACAGTTCAAGACAAATAATGGCCAGTAATGAGGTTAGGTAGTGCTTGGTGGAGATGTTGCTATCTCATATAGGGTGGCAAAGGACATTTGAGCATGTGGATAGCTGGGTGAACTGTATTTCAGGCAGAGGAAAATAGCAAACGCAAAGGCCCAGAATAAGGGGCATGAATGGTAAGTTCATGAAACAGCATGACGGTTAGCATGGTTGGAGCGGTGTGGTAGAGAAGGAAATGAGGTCAGAGAGGAACTGGGAATCCAGATTATATAGATCTTGGTTGATATCACAAGAGTTTTTGATTTTATTGTACTGAGGTTTACTTGTGTAGACAGTGTTGTCAGAACGGTTCATCATGTCCTGGATTTCTTTTCCTGACACAGATCACCTTTTCAAAGATGTAAAATATATATATATATATATATATATGTAAAATCATCTTTGTTTCTGCTCATTTTCAATTAACTTGATCTTCCATACCTAATGTTAATATTTTACTCCATCTAGAAATTATAGTGTATAATATAAAGTATGAATTCAAACTATTTTTTTCTCAAAGTGCTATAGTTATCCTAACATAGTAAATTATTATGCATAAATAATTTATTTCTGGATTGTTTTCCTTTTCTATTGCTGTTCTTTATCTTTCTTTTTTAATCACTATGAGGTCTCTCTTGATTATTAGTATTTTGTGATTTTTTTCCAATACTATTTGCTAAGGTAGATACTTTCTCCTTTTTCTTCCTTTGCAAAATATTCTTTTAATATTATCAACTAGTTTATTTCCCTCAATGAATTTTGGTATCATTTTGTTGAATGTCATAGCAAATACTGGGATTTAGATTAGAAAATTATCCTAATTTGGTACATTATAATTGAGGAATGATCTGCTATAATAGGGAAAATAATTGTTTTTGAGATGGGGGTCTTGCTGTATTGTCCAGGCTGGTCTCAAACTCCTCGACTTGAGCAATCCTCCTGCCTCAGGCTCCCAAGTGGCTAAGATTACAGACATGCACCCCTGTGCCCAGCTCCAGGAAACTAATTTCAATGTGTTAATATATGTCTAACTGAATTCTTCCTTGGCCTAGAGATTTGTTCAAATGGTGATTTTGTATTTTGTGGGAATAAATCCGTATCAGTTTGATTAGGTTGAAATTTGAGAATTTAAGGGTA